CGGTGTTTGGCTTTGGTATTTAGCATTTAACCCTTAAGGTACCTCAATGCTTTATATCATTCAATATATTTTTAAAGACCAAAGTCGTGGCTGCAGCAGGGCAGTCAAACCCAGGAGGATGGGAAGAGAGTCTGGTATTTTTTTTTTTTTTTTTTTGGTTAACGAAATAGCAGATAAGAGCTGTAGTAAAAGAATAAGAAATTAAAAAAGACAGTGCCCCTCTGGAGCAACAGTGGGGTGAGGTGCACCAAAAAAAAGCAACATCAGGAACACTGAGCCGTAAGGTGGCTCTGTGTAATCTGACTGTTACCTTGCTAAGGGTACATGAAAACTCTGTGAGCACAAAAGGAACCGTTACACCTTATGTACTAATTGATACGGCTAATGTTATAGAAGTTAAACTAGGGAAGGAATGTGCATTTTCCCCAGGACATGTGCAGTGTATATTGTAGAAGGGGTAAAAGAGAGGCAAACAAAACATGCTACTTAATTAAAATCCTATTAGGGCTCCAAAGGGAGCCACAGCGGGTTGTTTTTTGCTGTGTGTTTTGGAAGCAGGAGTTGAAAGTGGAAAGAAATCCAAACTCTGGTGGAAGTTAATTGTGTCCTTTTTAAGACAGAAACTCTGAGCTGCTGATGGCTTTGGATCCAAAAGCAAGTCAGAAAGCGTCTATGTTGATGCAAATTACCTAGCTGATAAAGGAAGGAGAGAACTGCCCGTAAGGGGCAGCACAAAGGAGCTGCAGATGAGGAACATACCTGGTCAGCAAACAAACTACCTGAAACCAAAAGTCTCAAATTATGACTCTCCAGAGGAAGGTGGAAAAAAGGTCAACCCTAAGAATACGAGGGACAGGTTAATCCTAAATAGAAAAAAAAATAAGTGTGTGTGTGTGTGTGTGTGTGTGTGTGTGTGCGCGCGCCCAGTGCTAAAATCTGAAGACAGGTACAAAAGGGGTCTGCTTATATGCATGACACCCCTACCTTTTAATTCACCCAAACCCCAAGGATAGAATTCATGGTATAACGAGGTACCTTTACTAGATTTGATGCTAATGTTATTGTTAATATTGGGATACATTTAAGGTTAATAAGTACCCCTGTAACAATGTATAGTGTGTATGAATTTTGGAAAAAACCTTTAAGGTCATCTGGTAATGATGCTTCTCAGCTACTACTTGTGAATAAACTTCAAGCTTAGCACAGCAGAAAAACCATTACAAACCTGGTCTGCTGTATTAAAAGGGAAACTGAGGTACATCACTTCATGAATGTAATAGCTGAACAGTGGGATAATTCACCCTTAAAAGGTAGAAACCATTAAACCTGGCCTGCCTATAGAACAAACCCACAGGAGAGTATGGGGGTAATTCCTCTTTTGCCTGCAATCAGCAAGGCTATTTGTAAAAGAGAGGGAGAGCTTAAGCAATAATCTGCCCCCCAGAAGAGGTAGAAATTTGTTCTTTTTGTCTTTCAGAAAATCAGGAAAAGCTGGTACCAGCTAAAGAGCAAGCCGGAATACCGTGAATCTCCTGTCATGATGAAGATTGTGTTTTGTGTTGTTGTCTTGTTTCTAGCATTATTGTGTTACAAAAAGAGAGGATATTGCATTAGGCAGAAAAAAATTAATAATCATTTAAACTGTATTTACAGATAGAAATGTTGCAAAAGGGCGGAGGTCAAGGAACGCCAGTCTGTTAACAGGGTGGCAAAGGCACATTTAAAGGCAGAATATGCATAGGACACAAGGTTTATCTGGTGGTGGGAAGGGAAGAATAAACATAAACATTTTTGAAGCACAAAGTGAACTTACCAAGGAGAAAAACAGGGGGCTGTGAAAACATTGCTTGCTTGAGGGAGTGGGAGGAAATTAGTAATAATTGGCAAGTCTTAATCAACTTCCAGCACGCAAGCCCAGCTGAATGCACCTGTGTGTTGTGTAAACTTGGATGTAAGGAAAGAAAAGCCATTGTAACACCTTCCCTGATTACTATAAGGGGCAGTGCAGTAAAGGCCCAGTGCAGGTAATACTATCGCAGTGTGAACTACTGAAGGTTATTGGATTTGCCTGGCAGCCAGGAGGGGTGGGTA